ATAAAAAAATAAAAATAAAATTTTTAAATAAGGTGATCATGGGGCGCCTGGGTGGCTCAGTCGGTTAAACATCTGACTCTTGATTTCGGCTCAGGTTGTGATCTCAGGGTCATGAGACTGAGCCCAATATGGGGCCCTGCACTCAGCGCTCAGCGTGTAGTCTGCTTGAGATTCTCTCTCTCCCTCTGCCTCTGCCCCTCCCGCTGCTCACGTGCACACGCTCTCTCAAAATAGGCAAAATCTTAAAAAAAAAAAAGGTGCTCATGTAGCACAAATTTATACAAGTAGAAAAATAGATCATTTTTCTTTAAGACATCAAAAATCTACTATGTGATACTACTTAAAAGTCTTTGGTCTTACTTCAGGCTCTCAAAGCGAAGGTTCTTGTGTTAGAACAGACCGTCCCACTTTCATGGCTTGTCATTTTGTTCTTCTTTTCAATACCATCACATACTACATAATCCTTTTTATTCAATACAACTGAAACTAATGATATTAATCAAAACAGTAGATTGCAAAGGGGAATCTACAAAAAAAAAATTACACCTTAAACATTTTCTTTGAACTTCAAACCTATAAATGTATACTCTGTTGCCAGTCTTCTGACACGGGCCTTTTGAGTTGTAGATCCACTGACTATAGTTCCAGTCTCACACAAACCACACCCATAATGCATCGTCCACAATTTCTAGTTTCAATTTCTTTAAAAGTGAAGCGAGACTTAAAAATACTTGCCAAGGATCTAAATGAAGAATTCTTCCAGATTACAAAAAAACAAAAATTTGTAAACATCTATAGGTATCTCCTTATTGGCTCACCTTATAGTCTTTCCAAGGCAGTTAACTTAGTTTTCACAGAATCAACAATTCTTACATTTCAGTTATTTTTCTTTGGCTTACAAAATTTTATATTAAATTATATAATTATATTACAAGTGCAAGTTGTCATAATGTGATCCAACCAATGGGCAACAGTATGTCTTACAAAAAGAGAACACAATTTATTAAGACTAGCATCCCTGTTACAAAAGATTTAAAATCACTTCTTACTGCTTCTATTGTACTTGGAACAGTACCTGGCACATAGGAAGTACTATCTAAGTATTTGCTACTATATTAGCATTAAAACTAAACTAGCTACAGGGGTGCCTGGCTGGCTCAATAGGAACAGCATGCAACTCTTAATCTCATGAGTTTGAGCCCCACATTGGGTATAGAGATTATTTAAATAAATAAATAAATACACAAACTTAAAAAAAAAACAAAACCCAAAAAAACTAGGGGGGCCTGGATGGCTGTCAGTTAAGCATCCAGCTCTTGGTTTCAGCTCAGGTCATGATCTCAGGGTCTTAGTATCGAGCCCGGCATCAGGCTCTATGCTTAGCAGGGAGTCTGCTTGAAGATTCTCTCCCTCTGCCCCTCTTCCGACTCTCACATGCTCTCTAAATAAATAAATAAATCTTTAAAAAACAAAAAGAAACCCTAAACTAGCTACAGATTAGTGCATGCAACGGTGGAATTCTACCTACTTTACACAGCCCCTGGAGTCACAGAGACAACCTGTACTTAAATTGTCAAAATGGGGTTCCTGGCTGGCTCAGTCGGTGGTGAATGCTACTTTTGGTCTTGGGGTTGTGAGTTCGAGCCCCACGTTGAGTACAGAGATTACTTAAAAAAATAAAATGTTAAAAAAAAAGAGAGAGAACAGAGTAGGGAATAGAAACTGCAATAGGTCCTCACTGAAAACATGAATATAAGGCAGAGTCAGTTTCACATAACTACAAGTGGATTATCCAGTACTTAAGGGAGGAGATCTTAAAAAAAGAAGTAGGCTAGCTCACATATCAGGTCAACAAGAAATGAAAAAGTAGGTTCACAACCCAATTTAACCTCCTCACCTCAAAAATGCTAAGAGGATGGTTACATGTCCTCCTAAAAAGTGGCACTAGACAGAGATGGAAAACCAGCTGTATTTTCTCAGTGCACATTAGGCTACTTTCCTCTATCATTAACTCACTAGTGACAGAAAACACCAATCTCAAAAAAAAATCCATGCAGTGCATCCCAAGGCACAAACTTTTGGTTAACCAATTATAAATTAAATACGCTAACAGAAACTGAATGTATATAAATGCAATATGCAAGAAAATTTAAAACTTGTGAATTAAAATCCTATACATCAGTGAAGAGCAAATGAAACATAAATGATAAATGTGGTGGCTTTACCATTTTGTTTTTGCCTAAGTTTTGTAACGCAGTTATCTAATTTGCAGGTGTAAAAAACTTGAAGCAAGATGACAGAAGATCTATTAACAACCAGAAGTTCAAACACCGCAGCTACTTAAAACACTCTTGTCCACTAGGAAAGAATCCACAGTGGCACTAACTTTCTTCCTTCTATGGACATCAAAAAGTACTGAAAATGATATGAATAGTTAGGAGAGACTCAAGAGACAGCCCCTGAGGGCTTCACCAGTCCCACTAGATGGCACTATCACAGGAAAGGCACTCGGTTCTCCCATTTGGCGCAAGGGCTGAAAGCCTCTTGATATTTGCAAAACTGAAAACTACCAATTCAATGACATCCTCGTTGGGAAATTATGACCCATAATGAGGAATTCAAAGCTAGAAGGAGGAGTTTTTCTCAAAGCACCTTCCCTCCCAGTAGCATGGCCTCCTCCTCCCCAGTCCTATTTCAAATCAGTGGTCTGAGGGATACCATATTTTGCAGGCAAAAGAAGTCATACAAAATGGAGATTTTTTTTTCTTCTTCCTGACTCCAAACTACAGAAAAATTTACTTGCTTCCCCCCACCCCCGCCACGTTTCTTTGCTATGGGAAAAAGTCAATCGCTTGCTGGTCCTTGAACAACATTTACTGTAATCAGTATACTTACTATGACTAAAAACATCAAAATAACATACAATCAGTGACATTAAAACATTTAGATATAAATAAACTTCTTCATATATATAAAAGGAAGAACTTCCTATTAAACAGGCAGATTAAGTTTTCTGACACCTTAATTACATGATTTTAAGTTGGGCCCGGGCAGCAAGATTCACAATGTCAATTATCCCCATCACTTATGCCCTACTCCATCAGAAGTATACTTGAATATAGCTATCATGACCTTAAAAAACTGAAGAAAAGAAAGGCATGCTAACAACAAAACCCAATGAATTTAAACAACATACAATGTGAATACAAACTTACTTTTATTCCATAGGTGCCCACTTGCACAGACAGAAGATTTGGATATGAACCTTCTGCTGAGTTCCCAAATTAAAAGACACATCAAAGGACATTATTAGGTAATCAACTGAATCAGAGATCAATCTAATACTCAAATAAACTGCTCACTTCCAGCTGAAGCTACTTCTCCTAGATCAGAGAACTCATATTTATACGTATAGTGTCTTTAATATATGTCGACAGTCGGTATAGCCACTCCAAAGTGCCACAAGTCAATCATTTAATAAAAGTGGCCAAAGAAACCAGGAACTACAAAATATGTAATGAATCCTGTGTTCCCATGGCACCTGGTCACAGTTCTAATACAAATCTCACCAAAGTATCATCTCCCTCTCACGTTCTCCACAATGGAGGCTTGGAGGCACTGAGCTGTCCTTCCTGACACCCTCCATAAGGCCTCCTACACAGCAGGCACTTAACAGCTGTTGAATGAACCAAAAAACTATCAAGCTGTTCAGCTCACCAAAACTATGAGACCCCTCAAAGCAGCCAGTTTTTCCCACTAAACCTTGCCAACACCTTCACCTTTAAGAAGCTACTAACCAAAGCCTGAGACTAACATTTAGGTCACCGTAAGAAATAGCACAGAAAGAAATGTATTGCATGAAGTCAAAGATCAAAAATTCACAAGTCTCAAGCCCAAGTAATGCAACAATCTCGGATTGGTGAAGCTCTGAAATAAGACCTCACAAATATATTTTACATGTTGTATTAAAATCATAAATATATTGCACTAAAACCATCTTATGAAAGCAGAGGGGTGAACGACATGAGGACGCACAGGAAGCCATAACGTTGCTTAACTTAACCACCTGACCATTAAATGGGGGCTTGATCTTACTTTATGCTCCCAGAACAAAAATGAAGAGTGAGTAAAAAGGAAAAACAGGAGGAGAGAGAAGGCAGTCTGGGGGGTGCAACCAGGAGGAATCTGTTGAACTGCAGACTGGGAGAATGACAAACTTAACAGCAGCAGATTTTTCAAAACTCTAGCATGTAACTATCCAAAAAAAAAAGCCATGTAATGAATCTATGCCAATATCTTTTTGTTAACAGCTTTTTTTTTTTTTTGAATGACTGAGGAGTTTTGACAAAATATGGCACAAAATCCAGATATACACCCCATCAGTATCCTTGCAACAAGACCCATGGGAAACCTCTCCCACATTAGAGGGGAAAGAGAAGCATATACTCCCACTCAGAATCCCTTCAATACTGTTAAGTTAAGGGAGTGACTGGTAGGACCTAAGAAAAGTTCACTGGAACCATGAGCTGATCTCCCCTGCAATCTATCAGCATGGCCCACCCAAACTGATCTTAATTGTTTTCTAAATGTGTTTCAATTAGTCTATGAACAGTGTTCACTATCAGCATTTTACTCACCTTACTAACACCAACTCCTGTAAACCTGGCCTCTAATAATTCCTGCCGTCGAGGGTCCAGGCTATGCAATTCTTCCATCATTTCTACTGAAAAAGACAAAGTAAGTTGTAAGACCATAAAAGCTAAAAACAGGAGGTACCAATTTTTAGATACAACAAAATGCAGTAATTATTTCACTGAATGGTCACACACAGGTAAACCTCAAGTAAACACAGCATACAAGTGATAAACTACAATGTGCTGCCTCAAACAGCAACACACTGAAAGTCAAAAATGGCTCAGAAGTCCTCTTCCGAGGGCTACTTACCCTTGTCTAGTTCTGGTCTGATTTTAACAGCAAAAAACCTCCAACCCTTCATATAATCTCAGTAAAAGCTGAGCAAGGACTAACTTGCAAAACAACAACAACAACAACAAAATCCTTCTATCAACCTTTAAATTTAACTAAGTACTTCTGGATATTTGTTTCCCAAACCCATGGGAACTAGTTCTTAAACTAAAAATATGAATCGTTAATAATAACTTAAAAATAATGTAGCATGAATCAGAAGCTACAAATAACTTCAAATAACTCTATTATATAGCTCCTTGCTCTGAAGAGCTCACGAAAAAAGGAATTAATTATTTTAAATATAATAGAGAACCCATGGTAAAACCATCAACCAGCATTCACTCAGGAAATCAGTAGAGCTCCATAACCATCCCTTTACAAAATCTTTTTCTGACCACTCCCTGGAGCAGTAGGTTTCTCTAGACATCTGCTCTGAGCACTTCTTTCAAGCAGGGAAGGGCAGGAGGACACCATTTTTAAACTCCTTCCACGACCAATAAATGCACAGGCTACTTTCAGCAAATATGTCCATCCACTGCAAGAGATCAACTCCTGCAGAATCCATTGAAACCTCTCTAATATTAAAAGTGGAATAGGAGCATACACCATTACACAGAACCCTTTTGAGCATATTATTAAACAGCTATTGGAACGATTGGCATGATTTAAAAGTTCACTGAGAACATGAATTAAACATTCTCCTCTGCAATCTAACAACTCCACATTAACTGTAACAACCCCTACCAGTCCTCCAGTTTCATTTCCCTTCCTGGATTGAGAGCCTGGGGCAAAGGGGAATGAAAGGGTGACAAATTAAAGTTTCACCCACACAAACAAGTGCAGGTTAGCGAGGGAATAAGGAAATTCTCGAAAAGGCAGAAAGGCATCTTAAAAAAGAAAAAGAAAGGAAAAAGGGGATTGAGAGAGAGTGCTTCTCCTAAGTGGCCTTCCTCACGTCTCGCCCTGCCCTAATCAAGGCCGGAATGGCAGAGGTTGCAGCCTCCCTCACACCCAAGGGTCTCTCGGAACATTTCCTAAACCTCCATCCCCAGGCCTGGGCCGGAAAATGACGCCCCAGCGGTTATTCCATTTAATGTCAACTCATGTTAAGGAAATCTCCACTCTGTCTCATTCCAGCGGGGCCTTGGACTGGGATCCTCCCTGCAGCCCTCCCTACAGCCGGGAAGCAGAACCGATGGGGCCTGGTCCCGGCGCCCCTCGCCTCCCGCCGGCTCCAAACTTTCCCCAACTCCAGGCCCACCTGTCACGGAGGGAGGGCGGGCCGGCTCTCGGGGGCGCCCGGGAGGCTGCCGGGGCCTCCAGCTGCCGGGGCGTCCCCTTCGCCCCGGCGGCCGCCGGCCCCACTCCCAGGCCGGGGCCGCCTGGGCCTCCCCCATCTTCAG